ACCAATAAACAACACACATATATAGACAAATATATGGAGAGAGGCACATTCACAAAAATACACCAAACACACACATATATAAAAGCACACAATCTGTCACATCATCCCTGAAATCTACCAAACTCCAGAGCCGGGTCCTTGGCTCCGATCACTGTCCACCGTCTGTAAATGTTCTGGCACGGCCCGGAACAGAGCACCTGCATGGGGTCTCAACGACAGACGCGCCAGGCCCCCTGCACCTTCGGCCAAAATGGTCATGTGATTCACCCTGCAGTGCTTTTGACCAACGAAAGCAGGCGGACCATACACCGTTAACCAATCACACCTCACCTATGATCTCAGATGATGTTTAGTTATGCATACAGGCAACATGCGCTTGACTGAAAGCCAAGACTTATCAGAGTATTAGAAAGAAAAATAAACAAATACTTTTTGGAAGTATAGACGCTGGTATAGACCAGCTGGGCCTCCTATCCCAATCACCTCCACCCCATCACCGAAGCCTGGAGCCCTGCTTCTCCAGCGGTTAAGGTACTCCAAGAAACGTGCTGATTGGTTAGCTGAAGGACATGAACGTCTTTGCTGCCTGTCAGTCATTCCTGTTGCGATGTCCCAATGGCCAATAATATTCAGTGTGGGTGGAGCTTGGGAGATGGGGCTGAATTTGTGTTGGCAGGGACACACCGACCCAGAAAGGGGAGCAAGAGAACAATCAAGTGGATATTGGCACAGTGGGTTATTTATGAAGCACTGAGGTTACCCAGTTACATATGACCTGGAATAATGCCTGTACTCTGATGACTTTAGTTAACAATAAAATTAAAGCCACCCTCCTTCCTCTTAATGTAAGCAGTGTGGGCAACTCTTGTCTTGTAATATCTGAGAAACTCTTCTTTAAACTCTACACAGTCCCACTGGATAGAATGGAATGTTTAGCAGATCACAGAGCCATGATTCGCAAAGAAGCAGTCTCATAAAATTGTCTTTTCGACTGGTTGCTTTTAAACACATATTAAGGCAGCAAATCCAACGAGTCACCTTGGAAAAGGGTGGAAGGAGAGTGCAAGTAAATGGGAAATCCAGGCGGGGCGACCCCACTGTCTTCTGGGGACAGCACTCTGTTGTTTGGAGCTGGTCACGTGAGTGGGGGGGGGGAGGGGGACAGATTTGACCCCGTTGAACAGCACAGGAAAGACAGTTTTGGGATGCAGACACTTGAAATGGGGAGACCACATTATCATGGCTATCAGGGCCAATGGCTAAAAATATGTCCGTGACAACATAAATAATGAATTGCTTAGCACACAGCCTACAGCATATTGCAATATATGAGGGCCATCCCTCCTTGGGGGAAAAGACAGAGACATCCAGCTGAGTTGACTGGCTGAGGAAAAGGGCTCCCCCCTTCCCAGAAACCCTGGCAGTAGGGCGCATTCTTGAACCCGTGACCACGTGAAGGGGCAGCCGCCGTTGCCAAGGAAACCCAGCAGACATCTTGGCCACACCCATCCATGGTGGAGGACGACACAGAACGCAGATGGCAGGTGGACGCGGCGGCGTGAGGGAAGAAAAATCGGGGGAGGGGGCGCGGCTTTCCGGAAACGGCCGCGGGGGCGCACCGATTCTACTGCCACGCTGTAGGGAAACACTACAGACTCCGAGATGCTGGCGGACCTGATGCGACACCTGCCCAGTCTACAGCTCATTCCACCTCGTCCATCCGCTCCAGGAGCACTGCCAGGATAAGATCCGCCAGCCCAAGGGCCATCTGGATGCCGAAGCCGCGGCCAGCCGCAGCGAACCTTTACTCAGGCGCTCCTAACTGGGGAGGGTTATTCCGATATTTTTCACAGACAGCTTAATGAATCATATTAAGGAGTCTTCCTAGATGAGATTCTCTTCAGGAAAAGAAATGGGGGAGGTGTAATCATATCCATCTCACACAGAGCTATAATTTCAGCGATGGCAGGTCAGCTTCCGAATTAAAGGAACCGGGCTTATTGTAGTGATTAGAGTATTAAAGAGACGGATCCCAAACAACACATAAAAACGGGAACTGCTTGTATAGACGTAACAAATACAGCCATTGAGGTCTTGTAGCAAAGTTATGAATCCCGGGATAGTGAAATGAAGATAAGGGGTGAAAGGAACGTGAGTGGGTGTCGCTCGCCGTTTGCTCAGTCAGTCAGCGTTGGCACACGCTGGATTTCCCCCCAGCCCAGAGCAGGGCTCCGTCATGCCCACAGGGAAAGGGGATGATTGTCATGCAAATACGTGACCCGATCCGATCCGATCGACGGCGATGACAGCAGCTCAACGGACTGGAAAGGGGATGACATGCGTGTAATGGCGAACACACACACAAACACACACAGATAAATCATTCCGGCATGCCTGCCCAAACCGTAAGGCTCGTTTAAAGCACCCGGTCTGACATCATCGCGCATTAACATTAACGCCCGTCGCATGGTTAGTATTCAGTGACTTACTAGCTTTTTCACATTGGCGTTTTTGACATTAAAAACGGATATATTCGTGTTTACTAAAAAGCAACACGTTAGCCAAATGCACCTAGCTAGCCTTTTGGCAATGCCCCTAAACTGATTTCGGTGATCGTACTAAAAAAATAAAAACGTTAGCGTAAACTGTCTCGCTAAAACATTTTTATAAGTATGAATCCGGGCACTACAGCATCCTTCGGTGTGTGTCGTTTATAGATCCCCATACTGCCACCGGGCGGACATCCATCCAGCCGCGCTGTGCCGCACCGCGGTACACAAGCAAACCCAGCCCGGGTGCGGGAAGCCATCAGTCTCACTTGGCCGAAACCATCGGTTATACTGGCGATCAGCTGGCCTGTCACGCCTAACGCCGAGGAGAAGACACGTCAGCCCGAGTCGCCTGGGCTGTCATCGCGTCGCTGAATCCCCCTCCTCCTTCCCCAGTCACCCAGAAGGCCAGTTTCCCTTCAAATACAGCTCGTTTTTTATTTACCAAAGCACACATCGGGTGAAATACGCCGTCCGTACCTGAGCATGTCCGACCCGATCGCGTCTCCGTGTCGGTTTTCAGCACACGCCCGGCTCTTTCATGCGGCGGCTCGCCGTCACCGGTCCCTGAGACGCCTGCGCGATCCCGTTCGAAGCGCGCTCCGCGGCAGGCCAGGCGGCGGGCACGCACGCCGCCGCACGCAATTGCGTCATCGCCACGGTGCATGTCCAGCATCCCTGCCTGGCCGTTGAGTGTATCAAATAATCCCTTGTACTGTATTTCCTCATTTAATCAATGGTCTCTTTTCTCACATATAAACAGTATTTGTAAAGAAAAACTCCGACCACTTTTTATTTTCGGCTATTATTATATTTCCGTTCCATCTCTAATGTTTGTGTATTCCATGCTCGTGAATGCTTGGATTTCATGCGCTGCTTGTCTTGGGGTTTGTCCCCTTATAATGAACGATTTCTATTATGTTGATTAATTTATTCGCTCACATTGTCCATATCAGAAATATTCAACTTTAAATAAACACGCATTTCCTGGATTTCCTCAGTATCTGTTTAAATCATCCCCAGGTTTTGGTCACCAACACCATGCTTTATATTTATATAGAGATGAACAGATACTTTCCTTTCCTATTTGCTATAAATCCTATCTATGTCATGTTTCATGCCTCATCCTATAATGCACGGTTGCTGTTTTTTTATTAACTAAATGTGATATTTAATTGTCAGACATCTCGGTTTATAAAGTTATTGTAGTTATATGATGCATACGAGAGAGATATTATTTCATTAAAAACAGCCTAATGTTTATTGTGGGTTAGGTTTCAAATCTGCAGCTAGGTTAGGGTGTTCAAATCTCACCCACGTACTGTAATGTGTGTCTGTGTGTGTGTGTCTGTCTGTGTGGAGTTTGCAGATTCTCCTCGTAGGCCTGTTTAGGATTTCCATTAAAGACACGCAGACGAACTGGTGACTTAACTGTCCAAAGTGTGGGCATGCGTGCCCCGTGATACCGGTACAGTAATGTGTGATTCTCATGGCCCGTAGTTACCTGGGGCCCCTTATCCCGTACAGGGCTTGCTGAAGCATATTTGTCGTATCTAGAGCCGGTGTTCTGTCGAGTTGAGCTACTTTGTCGAGTTAGGCTACTGTAGTGCTAATCGATAGCCCTAACCCCAACCCCACAGAAACCCCTAAAACCCTTACTCTAACCCTATAACCATAACCGCTAAAACCTAACCCTAATCCCAAAACGGTGGGACTGCACATGCGCAGAAATATTCGATAGCACGTCTCGATAGGTAGCTCAACTCGTCAGAACACCGGCCCTGACCAATTTGGTGCCCTAGGCAAGATCTAGCTGGCGCCCCTTCCATCGATACCAGTTCCACCGCCAAACATTATATTCACACACTGACTCGTACAGAAACGGCATAGCTTTATATCTTTGAGGTTTCTTTTTTGTTTGTTTTTAGAAACAATCAGAAACAATACTCCACAAACAGAATTAGAGAAACAATTGACAAATTATAAATACAACATAAATACGGTATTTTACAAAATGCGATAATAAAAAAAATAGCCGACATCAAAAGATTTATTGGGTCTACAAATTAGATTGGATTAGCCTGAATGCTTTAAATATTGCTGTAAATGGTTTAAGCAGCCTATTGGCAACAACATTGGTGTTCATGGTAGCTAAGCGAGTTCAGTACCATCAGAGACATTCCTCAAAATTATAAATGTTATTCTCCAAATCTTCCCTTGTGAATTTAAGGAGGGAGTAATTTACGTTAACTAGCTAGGCCTATTTATTAGATTAGCGAACGCTATCAAAAATAAGTTAGTATAATACTCTGCTATGGTAACTAGCACTATGCCATAGAGATTCAATTCGTTTATCACCCTACCTTTGTCTTTCTTCCCCTGTTTCTCCCTTTTTTCTGCCCTGGGCGCCTGCATATGGTGTCGGTCTTATGACATTTCACGGTCAGTGAATCACCCCGGGGAAAGGGGCAACTTAATGGACTGTGTAGTCAGGCCTATGTTATTCTGTGTTTTTGCAAGATTGTGAATAAAAGTTTTATAGTTTAAAAATAATATGTGTAAAAAATAGCCTACTTAAAAAAATCCCCGTCATTTCGGACGCCCCTGTGGATCGTTAACTGGCGCCCCTAGCATTCGCCTATATCGCCTATGCGAAGGGCGGCTCTAATCGTACCACCCTGTACTGTACCACTTTCGTCCACTAGATGGTAAACAGTGACCAAACACCAACGCATTTGATGGCTATAACAATGTGCAATCTCAGTCTAAAAGCAGGAACACAACAAAGTCGTATAGGAACTTTATATAGCAAATAATGAATTGATAAATAATAAACGACTACTAAACGGCCATTGACTAAACTGCTATTCGCTTAATAGCCTAAGAGCGCAATTTTCTAAATAAAATTCAAATAAGCTGTTTACAAATGTTTTGTTGTTATAATAAGCCCTAATATACAAATAATTGATCGCCCGATATTAGATAAAATGCTAGATCAGTGGTAAACTGGGAACTTCTGATCACCACATACGCCTATCGAAGCAAAATCTGAAACTTTGAGATGCTCGTCCCTCTCCACCTACCAGAGATGTATAGCCTACTTCCTTTTCAAATAATAAATCCAGTTTGGCAAGTTTTTTTTTTCCCCAACGACAACCAAGAGTCCAGGTAGGAAAAGTGCAGCCCTAAGCGGCGGGTTTTCCTTCTCCTTTATAAAACGGCGTTCAAAGGGGATTCGGTCAGGGAAGAACCTCGCGGAGGCGCGCAGTAGTGCGGGGCGGCATGGGAGCAGAACCCTGGTCCAGATATCAAAACCTAAGCGTGAAGGGAAACCCTTACTTGTACTGAGATGCTTCATTGCAAGAACGGCTGTTATTAAAATACAGGGTTCATCATCGGAAAATGGGACTACCTCAGGGCCAAGCCGACGAACAGGACTTACTGGATATCGAGTGTCCCGTGTGCTACGAGCTCTTCACGGGCGCGGAGAGGACTCTCAGCTGCGGGCACGTTTTCTGCCACGACTGCTTGGTCAAGACCCTGGTCGTCGGGAACGGCGGCGGCAGCCAGATCACTAGACAGAACATAATTTGTCCCGTCTGCAGACACATGACTTTCGTTATTAAAGGACAACCGTTTGTGGAGACCGGCAAGACTGCAGACGATGGACAGACCCTTGAAGTGCCTGTGATCCATCCAATCAGGGCTGCATCCAATTGTTTTGGTACTCAGGGTCCCACTGAGTACGGGGCAGCGCATCCCACGCAGTCAACCATCGGAATGGCTCTGCAACAAATGAGATTTGCTTTAAGCACTTGCTCCGGGCGGCAATTAAGCAACTATGACTCTCAGATTTTTATTATAAGTAACCAGGGACGACCGATGAGTGAGCAGGATACATTTAGTACGGCTTCGACCATTGTCAGTGAACAGGATCAGCTACAACGCCGTCAAGCGCGGATCTGCACCACCGCACGCTGTCTCGTGCTATTGCTGTCACTTTTCAGTCTGTTGGCGTTGGTTGCCGCCACACTTCCTTGGGTGTTATTGGGATAAACGTCATTTGTGACTTTTACTTTACGCGCTTAATTATTTGAACTGCAACGACAATGTAGTCTAATAATAGTAGAAAATATGCCATAGCTATTCTGACAGTGATGACAAATAGCCTAGTCTATATAGGTAACTTGGGGTTACATGCTCATTATGTGAAATGCACTAATGATATTGTGAAACTACAAAGAAGCATATTAAAGATTAGCACATTTGAAAATGTTTTATTTATTATTAACATTGCATGTCACTGAATGCTTTTCTTATGAATTATTCCATTATGTGTGCCTGCAGCGCCGCCGGCTGTTTTGCGTGAAACTTGGTGGCGATGACGAAACAATTCATGCTTAAATCGGAAGCAGTATACTCAATGTAAAATGAATGACGCTGATACATGTCGTCTGCTGATATCTTGCAATGCAAAATATTTACTTTGGTCTGGCCAAGATTTTGATAACATAGCTCCCCCATATAGCTCCAACATTTCTTAAGTGATCCGTTACGAAGCGACGCGGTCGTGTCATGATGGCGCATCTGATTGTCATCGTCAGAGATCGTATGTCTGTACAGATACGGACTAACGTGTCCTTGGCAAAATGTTTTAATTGAGGGGGGAAAAAACCTCGTGGGCTAAGTTTTTAACTCCTTGTCCGCGGTATTTAAAAATTCAGTTAGATCAAAATGTTCATCCGAATTTACCATGGTCATCATGCAGAAACCTTAAGGCATCCAACCAAACCGGGACCGCCAAAAAGTACAAACTTTCAAAAGATATGCATTTTATATGAAACATTATAACCTCGTCTTGTGAATCAGTTCCATTCCTGTAAAGATCATTTCCTGGTCATGTGCAAACAGCACTTAAACTACACCTCTCTCAGACTCAAAGGACCATGCAGGCTCTTAGGGAATATCGAGATGTCGCATTACCGTAGTACACACAATAGCATTTTAAAAAATGTGTAAATTAGGCAGATCGTTTCCAGCTCCATGTAGATTCTCCAGCTACCAGGTGGTGACAGCCCTCGTTTTGGAGAAGGGCCTGTAGAGGTAAGGGATTTGGAGTTTATCGAATGACTAAATGTGGGTTTTGCCTTTTTAACTAGTATCCATAAAACCTCTGTTTCTTTGGAGTAAAAATGAAAGGTATGAACAGGACTGTGAGTTTCACCCCTGGATTTTCACAGTTCAGGGGAAGCAGGTACCGCAGCATTTAACAGTATGACCCTGGTCACCGGAAGGTTGCTGGTTTTAGAACCAGAATATGCCTCAATGTAATGCCTGTCAGCACGAGTCTTAAATCGTGGTGGTTTAGTGAAATGTTTAAATTCATGAATGGGTTTAAACAAGTTTGAATATCTCAAACGTGCAAGAAAATGTAAATGAGGTGCATCCGCGTGAGCTCTCCGGGAAGGATGGTGTTTGCCGGGCTGGCGAGTAACGCAATACGAAAGATTCTGTTTGGAGAAGTAAGACTTGCTTGTGAAGACGGGCCAGATTGGCTAGTAGGGCAAGAGAATACCACGGTTTAGGGTTACTGCCAGCATGGGGAGGGCGTGGGGCAGCTGTGTGTGCAAAGCATGAGTGTCTGCATTTTTGGGATGTGCAGAGTCTGCGTCTTTTTCTGAGACCGACGGCATAGATACGCAGCGCAAATTCTGCCGGACCTCTGTTTCCCCCTATATAACATCCACCAGTAAGGGGTGAGCCGCTTTAAATAACAGCACCCCTGAGCATGAAAAATTAGGTATTTACATGTATGTTCTTTTTACATGTTTTATATATGTGTCTATGTTTATTTAAAAAATCTAGAAAACTAGCAATATAGTTTACCTATAGAAAAATGCATTGATAATGTATTATATGAGAACCTTATTTTAAGGGGGCGGTGTTTGGCCCAGCAGATTATGCTGTGCCTATGATTGGAAGCTTGCCGATTCAAATCCCAGGCTCAGCAGAGTGATGTCACTGCTGGGCCCTTGAATAGTTCCCTTTACCCCCAGTTGCTTCAGGGACTGACTGACCCTCCTTTCTCAATGTATGTCGCTTTGGATAAAAGTCTCTGCTAAGTAAATACTATGTGTGTTTAATGTTAATTTTTCCTCTACCTGTGTTTCCTGCCTGCACTGGGTCCCGCCCACAGTTCTTCTAGAAGATCCTGTCCGACTGGTTGATTGGCTGCCGTTGAGAGGTTTCACTGATATGTGGAAATATGAATAGAGATTGCTGCGGATTAAGGGACACCTGGCGAAGATCTGCTTGAGCACCGCGTAACCGGAAACAGTGGGAGCGCATACCTGTGCTGCATACACAACAGCAGGCATTGTTCAGTCTTTTAATGATGTTAAACAATACAGGTGTCAAGAGCAAATAACTGAATATTGGGAATCCGGAAGAAAGGCGAAATTGAAGTGCAGTTCTCCAGTGTCCTGTAACCCTGGTAAGATCGTAACCTTAAGTTCAAAATCATAAGTTCTCTCCTTTTCCCATCACTAGGAAGCAGTAAAACTGAAAAATAAAATTTAGCCACATTGGCTCTGGGTTTCAGTACGTTCTGGGAGGGTTCTGCATTTCCATCCAGCTGGTCACCTGACGGTTCCAGAGTCCAGACTAAAGACTGAGGGTGATTAAACATTTTCTGTGATGGCCCCTAGACTTTGGAAGCACTTACCTCTAAGATGTGTAGTTTTAATCTTCTCCTTTTCTTTGAATATCTGGAATGCTGTGTCACACTATTCGTGACGGAAGATCCGAGGGCAGGCGTATTGGGCAAGCAAAATGGGTTTTATTACAAAAAGGAACAGATTAGAAAACAACTGAATCGCGGGGGATCAAAAATAGGGAAGAACACACAGGCAAACAGGAGAAGCAATGTTAATGACAAGACTGGGGAAGACAGGCCTGGGAAGCACTTTTTATAAAAGAGTAACAAGGGAGCAAACGAGAGGCAGCTGGAGTGAGTAACACAAGGGCAGGAACGAGAGGAAAGACAAACGATCAACAGGCGTGGCTAGTTAGGATCACACAAGGGAGGAGTCAGGAGGGTCGAACGGGCAGGGTGTGACATGCTGTGTATTTTATGGTATTCCTATGTTGTTCTGCCTCTTACGATGTGAAGTACTATACAAATAAACAAATGAAAATAACCGTGGGCTTACATCTCAGAATCTATTCTTCCTAAAGTGCTGTCTGCCCACACACAGCCTGACAAGCAAATAACCCACGGACGACTGGTGCCGATATGCGGAAGAAAAGCAAATATGCCACCTGCAGGGATCCTGTGAAGACCAGCAGTATGTGCTGAATGGATGGACAGGCCCTAATTACACAGCCATTGAAATAATCTCCTGTTAGTAATCTAATATCTGGACCACATTTGTAAGTGCTGTAAGTTATCCAACCATTCAAATGTCTTTCCTCCGCATAACATATCCGTTATGGAGTGGGAAGGGGTCTGGAGCCTATCCCAGAGAGCGTAGGGCACAAGATGCCAGTCCATCAAAGGGCAAACACTGGGAAATACTCACACACTATTGGCCAGGAGTAGGCAACCCTGATCCTGGAGCGCCAGTATCCAGCAGATTTTCCATCCTACCTGGTCTTTGATGAACCTCACCTGATCTCCGGCAGATAGTAACTCATCAGGTAGGATAGGAAACATGCCAGATACCAGCACTTTTAGGCATCTAAGAGACCAGTTTTCACGACTGAATGGCTTTATACCAGTACCCGTCAATCCTATGGGCAACATAGGCGGCCGCCTAGGGCACCATCTTCTGAGGGGGCGCGGACTTAGCAAGCCTTTGTCTCAGAAGGGGGTGCTGGTGGTGAAGCTTGCGTAGGGCATCACATGGGCTACCACAGGAACTGGAGTACCTGGAGGGAACCCGCACAGCACTGAACGTGCAAACTCAACACACAGGTATTGCAGAAGGGTTTCAAATTCCCAGGCCTGGAGGTGCCCGGCAACAGTATTACCCACTGAGCCAGCAGTCAGCCAACGCCATTATAATCCTGTCCTGTGCTTAGCAAATAATGAAACATAAGGAGAATTTCTTAATAAGATACATGTATAGTTTTACTGCTTTGCCCAACAGATGAGAAACCCAGAAGAGAATGAATGCAGTAGCATGACAAATGGGTTTAGTACATAAATCACTGTAACAGAGTATGAGTCTGAGTACAGAGAATCACATTTTTTCCCATTTTTCCTGCGTGCAAAATCTGTTGAAGCCATAAGGCATCAAGCCCTTTTTAAACTTCATGTGTACCTAAGCTTGTTCTCCGTTCTTATGCTGTTTAGTGATTGGGCAGGAATTTTAGGGAAATTATTCACGCAACAAGGAAACATTGCTGAGTTAACCAGTACAGACCCATTTCTGAGCAGTAAAACGTTCTCACGTTAAGTGACAACCTCCTAGGTGGTTAAAAAGCTTTTGTTCCGGCCAAATAAACATATAAATATGCATGTTTTGTATCATCCAATAACAATAGCTCAGACAGAGCCCACAGACACACAAAGACACATAAACACACATACTAACATTTGCAGTTGAGAAGGCATTAAAAAAAAAAAACATCGAGGAGAAAAGACAAGAAACTCCAAAGTCATTAAAAATGTGAAGTTTAATAGTTTCTGTTTCGACATTCTGTTAAGGATTCCTGTAGGTCTCACTGCACACACCGTGTTAAGGTAACACATGTGATCGGGTTAGCAAAAAACAAGGAGATGGCCCTGTAGAGCAGGATTTTGGGCAGGGTTAGGGACAAAGAGCAAAGTGATGACCTCATTCTGTGCCCAGAGGGAGCTGTTACCAAAACACTCCCAAAGACTAACAACATAGTTTAGCATACTCCAGCAATTTCAATGGTTTATGAGGTAAATTTACCTCCCATTTTATTACATTCATCAGTTCTGCACCAAAATGCTAAAAATCTGGAATCCCTGGATTATTAAATAGCAGTTTACATGCAATGGGGGGTGTTGTGGCAGGGCGATGAAAAGATTAGTGTTTCTCAACGCAGTCCTCGGGGGCTGCCAGACAGTCCACATTTTTGCTCCCTCCCAGCTCCCTGCCAGACAGTCCACATTTTTGCTCCCTGCCAGACAGTCCACATTTTTGCTCCCTCCCAGCTCTCTGCCAGACAGTCCACATTTTTGCTCCCTCCCAGCTCCCTGCCAGACAGTCCACATTTTTGCTCCCTCCCAACTCCCTGCCAGACAGTCCACAATTTTGCCCCCCCCCCAGCTGCTGGGCTGTCTGGGGATCCGTGAAGACCAGGTGAAGAAACACAGGAATAGGTGAGCTGGGGAGGATCTGTGTATTTTTTATGTGTGATTTAAGAGGTTGGGGGGTTTCTGACATTTAACCAAGTGACACTGCATTAGCAACACATTAGCAACATTTAACTCTATTGAACCTTGACTATTATATTGAAGCACTGTCGTAAGTGTTTGAATTTAGAATTACTGAGAGAAGGGCTATCTCCTTTCACTTCATAAGAAGGCTACTCCTTCCCCTCTGATTTATACAGACAAATGGCTTTTAGTGACCATAGTAAATGTCGCTAATCATCCCAAAAGCAGGAGCGGTGGACTCCTGTATCTGGAACTGTGCCGAGTTCACCATATTTGCAGCTTTACACAACTTGACTCATTCAGCTCGGGATTTCACGAAAACCTCTTAACGGGGCTCACCAGAGGGAAGAACAGACGTGAGCAAATGAACAGAACACTTCATATCGTCTCTCAAGGAACATTCCACACAAAAATAACAACCGTCCTTTCACAACTCGGCGCAAATCTGTAAATATGCCCTAAGAATAACCCTATTAATCAAGTTTCTCTTGAAGGATATGTACATAGTCTCTCCTCTACACGTTCATCTAACCGAGCATAGCTACACGGTCAACTACAGACAGCCTTAACCAACCATAATCTTCACCACATCCACAACTGACTTCATTGACACAAACGCATCACTTTGCTACCATAGATGTCATTCAAGTAATTCATCGGCATTACCTACACTGCATGCGAAAAAGCCAGCCTGAAGCAAAATTTTAAAATAAAATGCTGCCCTCTTTAAGAAACAGGAAAAACAGCAATAAATTGACCCTGATCAATAGAAACATGGGAGACTGAGATAAGTGACCGATCCACTTGGGGAAGGGCAAGGGGGGAGTCTTTCTCCCCCTCTGAGGTCCATATACAAATAGCATAATTGCACTTTGATCTTAAATTGTCTTTTAAGCTCTAGGCATGATTCAGATAAGTCCCTGTCTGTTCTGGCTGGGTCCAGCATTATTGCTCTGTATATACATAAGGAAAAGGGTTGGCTTCACAAGCCAATCAGGGACAGGTTTGCGTGAAGGCATACAGAAGTCCTTTGCATCCATAACCTACTGGAATCGCTTACTGACACATCTATTTCAGCTATTTGAAAAAAAGGCAGCAGTGAGCAGCTGTAGTTTCTTGCGAGACATTGAAAACCAACCAGAGACCTGCTGCAACCCACGTCACCCAATCGCACGCCAGGGGCGGAGCCTGTGGGCTGTGTGTTGGTTGGTGAGGACACGGGTCCCTGGTTAGGCATAAGCCAGAGGTAAAGAGTGAAAGCGGCACGCGCGCACACACACATACACGTGACGGTGCACAGATATCAGGCTTGCACTCTCAAAAGCTCCCCAGATGCCCAAGTGAGCAAAAGCATCATTTCTGAAGTTTCTGACAGCCGGATATGTAGATTGTTTTGTCGTTTCCTTGTTACAGCTATTGAGCTCACAATCAGAAGCATAGCAAAAGCTTAAGTCAAGAACAAAATAACTCCACCCCTCTCTATATATAGCTAAATCCAGATTTGTCTTTATATATAAATTTTCATTATATATAAATTTTTAGGTATGTATATACATACGTCTCTATGTACACGTTTGTGTCTACAGTAAAATAGTGGCGAGTTGGATTCCTAGCACTTAAAATGAGTGATGGAGTAACTTTAGTCTCTCTGTTCTGTCATACAGTATAAGTCCTTCGGTTTCTTTTCGATGGGGGGGGGGGGGGGGTCATGGCTGCTCTTTTTTTGGGAGAGCCCCCAGTTCTGTCACTCATACTAACTACCCCACCCTGTCCCTTGTGTGGGGGGGGGGCGGAGACAGCTTTTGGTGGTTTTAACTGGAATGTTCAATTTGTGACATCTTCATTCTGAATGTTAGATTCTGAAGACATTTCACATTCTATTAGATTTAAGTGGAATTCCAGTTTTTTTTTTTTTTTGGGGGGGGGGGGGGGGGCAAGGAAAGGTTTGGCAAGGAAAATGACCATCATCTAATAACCAGGTACCAAAGTTTATAACATTAATTAGAGAGCTATTGGAAATCCATCCCAGTCAAGTTTCAAGTCATGTAAAAAATATGGCCGGTCCCTACATACCACTTACCAGACCTCATCCTCTGACACATAAAATACCTTGTTTACAGAATTTGACTCACACACTGCAGCACGTTCTCAGTTGTACTACGACTATACTAGTGTTTATTTGTTAGCAGACATTGAGGTCTGACCACCTGCACACGCTAAAGGGCCCCAGTCCCCATTCATCCTGGTGCACACAGCACGACGTGTTTAATGCTGCAGCAAAACAGCCATGTTACACATTCGACACAAAATCCTGTGAGAAACAACCAGGAATCTCGCTCACTATCACTGACATTCAGCTCAGAACATTCAAAGATACGCAACCACTATACATTATTTAAAACAAAAACCTCTGTCTTCTTTCTCCAAAGATGTGCAGACAAGCATGCTTGAGACACAGATAATAAAACCCATTATCTCCAGCACATTCCTCAAACATTATTTATATAGTCATGTCACCAAAGCTCCCACTAGATGGCGCTTTTCCCCCACACTCTACTGGGAAAACTGGAGACGCGTTAATTCCTCAGAGGTGACCCTGAATGGGCAAATCATCCCCCCCCCGCCCACTATTTTCTGCCCAAAAGTTGATTACACCAAGTGGCCCAAATTACAGTACCGGTGATGTGAAAAACGCTGTAACCGTGAGAAACAGGGTGGACCGGTGTGCCGAGTACCACGGAGCTTTGGGTCCTGGCACCAAATTCGCGATGGGGGGGTGGGAGGCAGGGTGGTGTGGATTGGGGGGGGCGGGGGCAATAGGAAAGCATAGCCACCACCTGGGCTCCTTGGCATTTAGCCCCCAGTCCAGCTGGACCTCAGCAAACCTGCATCTTGCCCGTATTAACAGAGCGAAAAGGGCAAAAGAATTGCGAACTGAAGAGCAGACTTAAATAAGGCAAAAAGGAACGAATCTGAAGGAGCATAAAACAGCTCACATAAATATAACAAGGGATGAACTGAAATCACCGAAACATAAAATTAGTCATGCTTTTGTTCTCTTTATAATTCTTCTGTTTGAATCAGCCGTGGCAGCTGGAGGACTGAAAATCTGTTATGGATGAGACTGTGCATGCGATGTTCCAAAACGAGTCCACAGTCAAGGTCACTCCACATGCCAGTCTCTCCATCCAGGTGCATTTTTGATGAGCCTTGATTTGTCTGACTGTCCATTATGTGCAGTGGAGGTGGGGGAGGCGTGGGGGGGGGCGGGAAGGGTGAATGGGGGGGGTTGTCATGATGAGGTGTCCTCAGATTTGTCCTTGTTCTCAGCCTCGGGCACATGCGAGTCCACCACTGTCAGAGCACGCCCACAGGGGGCGCCACTGAGCTCATCAAAGAGGCCATCAAGTTCAATACTGATGGTGGGCATTTCCAGACTGAAGAGGTCCGATGGAGATGCTGTATCAGAAAGGATGACTGCAGCAGGGGGGGAAATGGTAGGGGGAAAAAAAACAGAAAAGGAAGGAAGAAAATGAAGCTGAATCGTTGGTCCAAGAAGAGATCATGAAAACTAAAAACATATTTCTCAGTGCACTGCGTTGCGGAAAGCAAGTGAAACAGGACGCATTTTCACAGGAGTGACATCACACCAAACACTGGCACGAGAACTGTTCTAGAATCCTCGTTACAATTGGAAGCCAATTAATATGGCTGATTCTCTAGTGGAAAATGAGGGAAACTTCCAGACCTAAGATGTTATCAGATGTATTTCCATACCACTCACTGTACTTAATAAGCCGCCAATTTGCTCAGTCTTCACTGTTTTGGAAGGATACACTAATAGTTTTCCGCGTCGCCTGTCGCCTGTCAGTGCATATCATGTTTTTTAGGATAATGGCATCACTCGTCAGAATGACCAACAAGATAGGCCGTAGAATCAGGCCGGACCCTGACCAATAAACAGCCCCCGTGAAATACGTACGGGCAGCGGGCACGTCTTTGGCAAGGATGCCAGCTCTCGCTCCGAAAGCCGGGCCGGTCTAGTGAATTCCTCCCTAATGAGGAGCAGATGTCGGCGCGGCTGATCTGCCAGCTGCAAGGTTCACTTTGGTGTGATGACGTCCCCTCTGTAGCAGTGAAATGAAGACGGGGGAGGGGCTTATATGTGCAGGGGGCGGGGCGACTGTATCTCAGCCAACTGTGCCCAATAAGCAATGGCTCAGCTGGACTGGGAAGGGTTTCAATATGGCGGCCCAAACAACATGTATAGGGTGGGGGAAATTTGGGGAGGGCGTCACCCAGCGCCACCCAGCCACAAGCCATGCGCAAGCGGGGGTGCCAGGGGTAGGTTAGCGGGCTGACGGCACACAGCTAGCTAATGGTCCACATATAAAGGTGGGTGCACACAGCAGGCTGGCGGGGGGGCGCTCCAGAGCTAGCCGGCGTCAGCAAAGCTCTGCACGGAAAGGTGTGTCTTACCCTAAAAATCCCCCTCACATTTAGCCCACACTCAATCCCTGGTCTCACACCGCTGTGAAGTACACAATAAGAACAATCGACAAAAGCAAAACAGAAAGAACAGAGATGGTAACAGAAAGTAAGAACAGAGGCCATCAAAGGCTACGGAGGACATTTTAACCCTCTCCCTGCCCTGGCCGGGGCCCCTTCACCACTGAGGGAAGAATAAAGCTTGGGCACTGCTCGCCGTATGATGGTGCAACCGCAAATACCTTCCCCTGGAAACAAGTAAGTCACAAGGTTCCGATTGGCCACACTATGATACGATGGAAGGGATATAGTAGTTTTATGGCTTTTTAATATTGCGTAAAGCATAAAACCATATATAGTAATGTATTTTTTTACAATGCATGCAGAAATATGTTAGAATATCACTATCTGATTTATGTAAATATTATGTAAATGTTTTCCCATGCTTCTTCCCCCCCCTCTGCTGGCATGGAATTAAAATGAATTAATTCCCTTGATTTATGTGAAGAGAGAGGGGCGGAGTCAAACCAGCTTCTTCCATTTCTTTTCACGACCGATTTACACCCGATCCGCCACGTGAACAGATTTTCCGACTAACGACATAACTGAGAGCACAGGTTAGGCCCTGAGGCTTCAGGGAAAGGGTTAAAAAAAGGAAGCAGGATTCAACAGACGAAGGGAACCACGTTCCTGACGGTCACAGGGCGAGTGTTATGTGTAGCACCGTTTTCAACAAGAGCTGAAAATGTCGCCCTGTGAATTTTCTCGACAAGAACTGGTGATAAAAATAAGACTTGATGAATCAGTCAATAAAAAACATAAAGCATCCAGTTGAGATTCGTAGCTTTGCATCATTTGCATGTATATATCAAGCCTATATTAATTATTATTATTATTGTTCCATTTATATACATGTATTTATAGTTCATGTTATTTGCTGTAGATCGCATCTGAAAGGGCTTGTCAGCGCAATAACCGAAGGATCTTGCAGGCAACGCTGCCCTTTGTTGGGACAGGCGCCCCCTAGTGACGGGAGTCTAGACGACCACGCTAGTGCCAGTCGAAGAGAGCGATACGGAGAGAGTGGGCCGGTGCTCGCCGGGTACCAGGTGAGGGGGCATGTGGGCAGGTTTACCTGTGGACACACTCTCTTCGGGGGACATGCTGTCCAGCAGGCCGGGCTCCAGAGACTGGGGGCCGGAGCCGCCCGACCCGGGGGCCACCGGGGGCTGGGGCGGGGGCAGGCTGGGCCTCTGCCGGGGCTTGGGGGCGGGCCGGGACTTGGTGAGCGTGCCCGTCAGGGAGGGCGGAGACGACAGGGCGTGGGGTGCCCCGGGCGGGGCCTGTCCAGGTGAGGCCATAGGGCCGTGTCCGTATGGGGACGGGGTGCTGGGGGGCGTGGGGGACAGGCTGACCGGCGACGGCTGACCTGTGGACTGGTCCGACACCCCCCCAGTCTGGCCGTACGGCACCTTGGGTGGAATGGGAGCCAGCTTCCTGGACACTACAGACGGGGACACGGAGAAAACGATAAACGATAAACAAGCCGGGACGAGCCTTGTGCTTCCATTAGTACTACAGAAACGCATGATGAACTGCTAAATGCTCTGTAATGTTTATCACACAATAAATAATACCGGCTTACATTTGTCATCGATTCATTATCCAGATTTTGATTTGTGTTCACAAAAATGGATGTCCGTGGGAAATTTACACCACTACTAATTACGGTCAGATAAGTAGCGGTGAGGGAATCTTGGGTACCTTTGCGCAGGGAGTGAGGGCTCTGCTCAGTAGTCAGCTGTGACTGGCTGCCACCCTGCGGCCCGCAGCCAGAGAGCGCCAGGGCGCCCGACACTTGCACTGCCTTGTGCCCGATCACAGGAGACGGCTCCTTGTTCTTCAGCGAGCTGGGAAAATAGGGAGACTGAAGCTTCATCACCACCTCTCCCCCCTCAGAAAAGGCCCAAAAGCACAGGAGAAGCACAGAAAGGCTGGCAAAGAACTGATCCAGGATCAGCATAGCTTACGCAGACCCTGCTACTGCCTCTAGTAATGATCAGGATGACCAGTGAGTCAGGGCTTTTATTTCAGTTTTCTTTTTATCTCTAGTGTGTATGAGTCAGAGTGCCATATCCTGTTTTTAGCATTCTTTTCTAGAAGGTTCTCCCTCTCGTTCATGTAGTGCAGAGAGAAGCACACCGCGGGCAGAGAGCGGGAATAAACCCCAAAAGAGCCGTAACATAAATGGGCTGCCCACAAACACACCTCAAATTACCCCAACTGGGAAACTCATCTGTCTCTACAGTCGCATTTCCACAGCGGTAAAAATGGCCTTTTCACTCAGGTATGTTTCCTGCGAAACCTGGTGTGCAGTATCCAGAGGGACCACGGATACCACTTCTGTAACACATAAGAAGGCTACTGCAAACAGCTCAGTGACTACAGCTATTTCAGCTACTACAGTACACCCCTGATACACTGTACGGTCACTACAGCAACCGCAACCACCGTGGTAACCATGGTAACCACACCACTAGCATCATCACGGCTATCATCACTATGAACAGCCACAGTAATTAGGTACCACAGTTCCTACAGGTTGTGTGACCATTTGTATTGGGGCCTCTGTACCAATTACACAAATCATACTACTCAGTTCCTAAGCTTATTGCTACAACATGACCTCATTCTCAAAAAAAAAAAACAACTAAGACTGATAACATTTGAAAAATGTCTTGCACACAAACAACAAGGCGACTATTGACTAATAAAGGCCCCATCTCAAAGGATCTTTCGTGTGTCCCTCACCAGCACCTACTGCTGAAGCTCACTAGATGCACAACCTCCTCAAATGAGTACTAATAATGAACAGAGGAAAACAACTACTGTAAATGAGAAAGAATGAAAATGAGCAGCGATGGAACAAATCGAAGCGACTTTGCATGCCCATAAACGTAAATCGAGATCACATAAATAAGCAGCGCATTCTCTGAATTTATTTACTTATTGCCGTAATTGCAGTCTTCAATCTGTACGGAGCCCAGTAACATCCTCGGTTGCTCAGCAACAACCCGCCGGGGTATTTTCGCTAGCAGTGAACCATGTTACCTTCTGAAGACTGAATCGCAAGAATTAAAGAAAAAAAAAAGAAAGAAAAAAAGGAAGCGGAAACGGAACGGGGTGGAAAAAAAGAGAGAAAAGAAGAAGGAAAAAAAGTCTCTGCTTTCATGTCATCTCGACAAGCAAACCATTTCCACGAAGCAGGAAATGATATTAGCCAGAATCTGAGAGACGTCAACAGACAGAAGCGAAGCCAAAAGAATAAAGAAGCAAATATATAAAATAAACGGACAAAGGATGGGCAGACATGTCAGCAGGATGGAGTAAAGCCTCTGTCTGTGCGTGGACGGCCTGTCGGGTGTGGGGTAGGGCCATCCCTGGGCGGTATTTACCTAGTCTGCCTGGCTGCTCTGTCTCCAACACAGGCACAGCTGACCCAAGGCGGCGGGCCGGAAGGGCCGGGCGGGGGGGCATTAAGGGGGGTGCCGAGTGACGGCTCGTGTCTGCTCAGGACCAGGGGGGTTTTCATGTAGAGGGAAGAGGCGTTTGCCTCAGGTGGGGCGCCATGCAAAGCATCGCAGAGCGAGCCCTGCTTGGGGAGGTGCAGGCAGCTGGGTTTAGGGTTCGAGTTGATGTCAAGCTGCTGGGAGGAAGAGGCGGAGGAGGAGGAGGAGGAGGAGGAAGAGGAGGAGCAGGAAGGAGGCGGCAGCGGGGGGCTGTAGCCAGTCCAGCGGAGGAGCGGGGGCGAGCCACCGGGGGGTACAGACTCAGGGCCGGGGGCGACAGGACGCGCACAAGGCTGGGGTCGCTGGTAAACATGGAATGAGGAGGGGTAGCAGGAGGTGGGGTAAGGAGGGGGGGGCCTGGCCTCCCCTGGGGGCGGGTAGGCGGAACAGGAGTCCGACCGATTGGACGACACGTCATCCGAGCTGTGAATGTCAAAAATAGAGAGTAAAGAAAAAGAATAACAATGACTGAGCTGGGAAGACGAGCCGAGGCGGTGAACAGAGGCGGTGAACAGAGGCGGTCATTGGGGCAGCTTGTTTGGGGAAGTGG